ACTGTACAGTAAATGTAGGTTTTTACTTCCCATAAACGTTTAAGCAAAGTTCAAACACAGTCCAAGTCATTCACGGTTAAATCAGTCAGTTTTCAGTCCAGGGATAATCCAATAACAAAGTCCAGTTTCAAAAACAGTTCAGTAACAGACTTACATCAACTATCAGTAACAGTCAGGCAGCTCTCTCCAACAGAAGAAACAGAGAGACTGAGACTAAACAACCCAGGTTTCTGGCTCCATCTTATGGCCATTTGTGGAACCACACCCAATTACAGTTTTAGTATTCTCTTAAAGACATAGTATTAAAATGTCTATCCTAGTTTATATATTTCCAACCCAAATAACTGTTAGGTGACTAACAAACCTGAAAAGAACTTAACCATGTTATACAGTTTTTAACAGTGATGGATTATTCCCAAATAGTTATGATGTTTTGCTTTTTCCCATCCTCATTTTTAGCTGGTTGGAGAATATTTAGAAGTCACCTGTATCAATCCGACATTTATTTGTGATCACCCACAGATCATGAGTCCTCTAGCCAAATGGTAAGCAAAAATGCCGTGGTTATGAAAGTATGGATGTGCAGCATATAATCCGCCCAATCCACCCACTTTATATAAAATAAACATTTTAACACATTTGGAAACCTTGGGTACAATTGCAGAAGGTAGAAATGTTTTATCTTATGGGATGTTTCTAGCCTCTGATAAGTTTGATATGATGTGCAAAAAAGCCAGCTGATTCCTAGGGCTAAAGATGTAAGCAGTTGTTCAAATCTCTTGTTCCATCTCATGAAATAGAGTAAATAATGCAGACCATCTGACCTGGTATCCCTGGTCGCAGAATAATTATTTTTCTCTGTGTGGTCTTCAGTCTTCTCCTTTGGTGTTTATTCAGGCACCGTTTTCGACCAGGATTGACTGAACGATTTGAGCTCTTTGTGATGAAGAAAGAAATCTGCAATGCCTACACAGAACTGAATGATCCCTTTCGGCAACGACAGCTTTTTGAAGATCAAGCTAAGGTGAGTGAGGGTGTAGGCCTGGGCTGGAGCTGCCAGAACTGTTTTGTATTTTTGTTGGAATTTGTCATAACTTCAATTGGTCACTAAGTAACTAGTCTAACTAGTCATAAGTTGAGGACTATATGTAATGGGGGAAGAAAATGCTGACCCGTGGTATGGGGATGGAACTTAACTGGATTGTAAAACTGATCTGCGATTGGGCCAGTATTACAGGTAGCAGAGAAATTTCTTGAGTGGGAATTTTATTTGTTTGTTTTTAAGACTTCAGTACATCTCCCTTCCAAACTGGCTCTGGGCTGCTTGCAAGAAAACTGAGGAGAAAAATCTGTCTATACTAAATGCACTTTCTCTCAGGGACTGTCCCAAAGTTTCGCAGCACTACACAAATCCACCAGGGAGGACACAGTTCAGATATATGAGGGCAAACGTTTCCACAGTAATGGGAATGAAGTGCCAACGAGCATGGTTATAGGATTAGTCCATCTGTGAGATGACAGCATGAGTGAATAGAGACATTGCTGCCTGATCCAAGAAAGGAGGCAACTGGTACCCTAAGGGTCATTGTGCCAAGATTTTCCTAGCCATTGGTTCCATCTAGTGTTTAGAAGGAGCTGCAAATCCAGGCAGAACTCAGGATGAAAGAAGCAGTTGGAGAGAGATTGGTTTGAGTAGCGGTCAGTACTTTTTATTTAGAAGTGTCAAATTAGAATCCAATTATTGGAAGTAGAAATGGGAAATGTTTTTCTTTCAGGTGTTATATATAAACATATATAATCGTAATATAATCCTAACTCCCTCCCCCCAAGTCCCAGTTGCCCTGACTGGCTCTGCAGATGATCCTTGTCTTCCTGTTCATTTCTAACTCAGGCAAAAGCTGCTGGTGATGATGAAGCAATGTTTATCGATGATAACTTCTGCATGGCTCTGGAGTATGGGCTACCCCCCACAGCTGGTTGGGGCATGGGCATTGACCGTCTTACCATGTTCTTGACGGATTCAAACAATATTAAAGTAAGCATTCCATAGATGGCTGCTTTCTGTCTATTCAGGGCCTGCCTGGGTAGAGGATGGGCTGCTTCCTACATTCTAAAGCAGCAATTTTAGATTTGCTACTACTTTCATATAAAAGGGAGAGGAATAATTCTTGTGCTTTAATGCACGCACTTGTGAGAATTAATGAGCTGAAAACATACTTGGGAATGTGAAAATACATTACTTTAATGGAAAGCGTAACATTTCTTAAAATGTTTTTTTTTAAGACATTTCGCTTGTCATCCAAGAAGCTTCTTCAGCTCTGACTGGGTAGAGAATGGAAGGATTTATATTCCTTGTAGACAGCTGGTCATTTGCATTCTTTTAGAGAGTCACTGAGGCTACTTGGGTGTGGCTTTTTGCTGCCCACATCCTGGCGACGGCAGGGTCTGAGTTCAGAGCCCTGGGCCTCTCATTGTAGATAAATAAACACACGGACACAATGTTTACTCAGGATGAAGGCACTGAACAAAGGCAGGTACCTCCTTTTATTAGGTTGCTTGCAAGCGTCATAGCAGGAACAAGGAAATTTTCCTTATAAGGTAATCTACATAATTATGCTAATGCAAAAACTATACCATTGCTGGGGTCTTATCACCTCCGCTCTTAGCCCTGCCCAATTACTTTTGTTTCCCATATAACTTTCGTTTCTCCTACTTTCTTTTCCCATAACTTTCGTTTCTCCAGCCAGTATTTTTCCACACAGTCAGCACTTTACCACATAGCAACACCAAACTGTCCATCTACAAGGTTGACCATTGCAACTTTTAGCGTCCATTTATTGTAACAGTTGTACATTGCAACACTTGGGGGTTTGTCCATCACCTGAATAGTGCAAATGGGTGTGGAGCTTTCTTGGAACTGCTGAAGGGACTGTGTTGTGGAGCTATGCTTTCTGTAAGGTGTTTTCTGCCCAGTGTCCCTTCACTGTTGAACATAGATGCAGGCTGTTATGGATGAGTCTGCATTGTCTGTATCTCAAACGGAAGTGCATATGGTTCCTGTAATTTTTCTGGAAATCTGTTCATAGTCCTGTACCATTCGAAGGGTGTTCATCCCAAAGTGCATAGCTAAATGTCTATGGAGATTGTCAGTCATCCAGGTTATGGCTGCCCCAAAGGTGCTTTTTCAAGAGGCAACTGGACTTTGTTTTTCTTTGAAGGCATTTCACTTCTTCAGCTCTGACTGGACAGTGGGGAATGGAGGAAATTCTTCAGAGCTGAAAAAGCATCTTGGATGAGAAGTGAACCATCTTCAAAGAAAAACAAAATTCCAATTGCCTCTTGAAAAAAACACCTTTGGGACAATCATGACCTGAATGACTGAGAATCTACATAGACATTTCTTAAAAGAGCTTAGGTGGAAATAATGTGGCTCGGGGGGATTTCTGATGAGATCTTTCCTTGGAAAAGAAGCTGTACTGAATGACCAGAAATCCCCTTTTCTTGCAGGAAGTGCTGCTATTTCCCGCCATGAAGCCTGAAGACAAGAAGAAGGATCCACTGTCAGATTCTAGTGAGGGGACTTCAGTGTGACACAGCAGCTTGCACAAGAAGCATGGAGGACAGGGAAAGTCGTTTCTAGATTTCAACAGGCCTGGGCCACTTTTTTTCCCTCCAGCCATGAATAAATGAAGTCTGTAATTTTATTTTGATAGTAAGCACCTCATTGTGGCCACTAGCTTGCATTGGGCCATTTCTTTGTCCATCAGATTCTGATATGATTCTTGAGATTTAAATCTACCAGTGATGAGCTTTGTTTGCTTTGCAGCCAAACTGAGGGTTGTAGTGACTGTCAATCCAGTTCCTGCTTGACCATCAACTTGAGTTCAGTTCCAGCACATCTTAATTTCACTGAATGTAAAAGTTAGGATACCAGTGATTAGATGTTCCAGTTTCATTCTCCATTTGTTACTGGCCAGTACATTCCAGTGGCTTATGTTGGTAAGCTAACAGAACCAAAGAGAGCCACTACAGCTTCTTCCTTGATTCTTCCCATAAAAAACCTACTCAGCACCAGGTAATGCTGAATTCAGAAATTGCTTTCATTATATTAAAGCCTGCAGCAGCCTAGTCCATGAAGCAAAGCTAGAGTTTGTTTTCATTGTTCTATTTACATCAATCTGCGTTTCACTTCTAGCAATTAGTTGATACAGTAAAAAAAAAAAACAGTTCTCGGTCCATCAACCGTCAAGAAATTGTTTAATGCAAAATATTTCACTTGGGTGATGGGGAGATTTAACTTTGCAGCAGTGCTTGTGAAAAAAATCAGTGTCCTTGTTGACCAGACATTAAACAGAGTGACATATTTCCTAAAAAGAGAAAGGATATTTTGAGATACACTGACAGAAGTGTCAAAATCGCAGGAAGTAGAAAGAACACCTCTTTGAGAGAGATGGATGATTAGAAATATGAAATGTAAACAATTCCACTGTGCTCTGCTCTGGCTATTCTCCATTTGGAATACCATATCCAGTTAAAAGTAGCACAGTTCAAAATGAAGCAGGTTCTGAAGAAGGCTCACCAAGATAGTGAAGAGTCTGTAAAGCAGCCCTTTGAGAACAGTTAAAAGGATCTGGGCATGTTCAACAATCAGGAAAAGGCAACCAAGATGTTTATCAATTGCCCAGAGTGGCCACTGGGTAAGATGGGTAGAGAGCGAGCAAGATAACAAAATCTTCAAAGAGCGGAAGGATTGTCACATAGAGTAAGTGGACTTACTCTCTTACTTTTAATAATTTTCATTAAAAATCTCTTCAAAATAAAATCAAAACTACGAATAGGGAAAACTACGCTCTCAACATGGCTGAAACAGTTGCATTGAGCTGGCCGCGCTTCCAGCCTTGACTAGCTGCTCCCTGAAGGCGACGCCTGCCATTAGGCAGCTCGCTCGGCGGGGATCGGGACGGCGCCAGCCCAGCGAGACCACCGAAAACCAGGACCGGGTTCCGCTGCCTTTAAGTGCCGGGACGACGCCGTGTTTTTGCTTTGGGGGAACCTTTGTTCCGTCTTTGGTTCCCGCCGGAAAAGGGAGGGGCTGCACTACTTCTGGTCCGTTCCGCCCTCCTTCCGCCTTGGGCCATGTGGGACGCCGACGAAGTGGCGGCCGTCTGCTACCACCATTATGAAGCGCGGCTGCCGAAGCAGGGGAAGCCGGGACGCGGCACGCACGAGTGGACTGAGTTGGCGGCGGTGCTGCGGGTGGAGCGAGCGGAAGGTGGCGGGCCGCCTCCCGGTGAGGCCCTCGGCAGGGAGTCTAGTGGCAAGCCGGGGACGATGGGTAGGGTGCCCGGCCTGAGGGGCCGTGCTCCTCTCCCGTCGTGTAACCTGCCTTTCTCCCCTCAGCCGTGAAGGAAGTCGTGGCCATGGGAACCGGCACGAAGTGTATCGGCCAGTCCGAGATGAGGGAGACGGGTAAGCGGGGCTCGGTGGGACGCGAGGAGGGCCCCTCCGGCGCCTTCTGACCCGGCCACGCTGTTGCTTTACAGGGGACGTCCTCAACGACAGTCACGCGGAGGTGGTGGCCAAGAGAAGCTTCCAGAGGTAGGTGCGAGAGAATTGAAAACAGCGGAACTCCAAGACGTGGCCGCCGGGAGGGCCTCATCCTTGGGCCGGGGCTGCCTGAAAAACAGTTTGGGAAGGCTGGGTGATTCCTAAGGGAGCTGCCAGAAAGAGTAGTCGGGCGTCATCTGAAAGAACTGTGCCCAGTTGCTTCTCTATTCCTAGGCTGAGCCCACTTCTTATACTCCTAAGGGGCTTGAATCTGGTTATCCGTGTGAAGGCCTCTCTTGCTTCTGCAGACAGTAGATCTCAGCTAAACCTGATTTCTCCCAGCTTCTGGCAATCATGCTTTGGAAGCATGCAGTTGCAATCATTTTGGATTCTGGTTAAGGTCTGTCTTTTGGGGCCAAATACCAAACTATCCTGTAGTTATGCTGAGAAAGAGCATCTGGTTTAACATCTGAGGGTAGGCTTGAATTTGGGCCTCCCCAGTCCTAACCCAACACTTGTACATCACAGCAATACTCATTTTTTCTACTTTCTTTTGAAGGGAGATTGATTTTCTTATTGATGCTCTTCCTACCCCTTGGGGTCCCAAGTTGCTTGGGCTTTCCTCCCCAACCTGTGATAGACTGCGCACTTACCTTTGGCACCACGTCTTGAGAGCTCCACACTGCCCACACTCATAGTCATGAGGGGGCTGGAGCCCTTGTCCAGACAGGTGAAGGTCTCCCCTTCCCCGCTGAGCCCCAGCTTTTTTCACAAGTGGGCGCACCGAACTGCCCGGATTTTTCACTTGGAGCACCAAACTGCCCGGATTTCAGCAATTGCCCTACCGCAGAGCTGGAGATCATGGTGTGCCTCCGTCCTGCGCCATTCACTTGCTGGATGCACTGAGGCCTTTTTCAAGAAGAGCTCCTAATCAAAGCTGCTTTCTAGTTCCGTTGTGTTTCTCCAGGCAGCTCAAGGCACTCTTCTTTCGTGGAGAAATGGAAAAGCTGCGTCACAAAAGGAAGAAACACACAGGGAAACCAAAGAAGAATCCTCCAAAGTCATTGCTTTCCCCAATGTGGACCAGGAGAGTCCATGCACAAGGCAACTTCCAGAAAGGACTTGCAGAAAGTTGAAAATGCTAGTCTTCCTTTGCTTTTTAATTTTAGCCCCAAGGAGGAAGCTTCCAGGCAACGGGCTTGGTCTTTCTTGTTTGGTTTCCCTACTCATTTCATCCTTTTGCAACGTAACTTTTATATTTTTCCAGTGAAAGAAGAGTGTCTTGAGCTGCAGGGAGAAAGAAATACGATGGAGCTGGAAAGCAGGTTTGATTAGGACCCCTTCTTATGATTTGGAAAAGGCCTCAGAGTGCATCCGGCAAGGGAGGGGGCAGGACTGCATCCACTTATGCGAGAGGCTGTGGCTCAGAAGGGAAGGGGAGAGACCATCCCGGTGCTTCTCCATTTGGCTGGACAAGGGCTCTGGCACCCAAGGTTGCACAGGAGGTGAGCATGGGGCTCTCAGGCTTGGTGCCAAAGGAGCATGTTGTAGCATCTCTACGGTCATTCATAAGGGCGAATGACTGTTGTGGTGCAAGATATGTGACTTTGGGATCTGATTGTAAGTACTTTTGGCGGGGATGTCTTAACTGAACATTCACTAAGTGAATGTTCAAGGAATACCTGCATTGGTTTTCTAAAAGTGATACTTATTGCAGGGCATTTTTAGGAAAGGTGGATTGTAGATGAAAATAAATGTAAGTAATGCCCCCAACTACAGTAATTGTCCTAAGTTATTCCTGGCAGATACCAAATTCTATTCTCAATTATTTCTGGCCAAAAGAGCCCTTTGTATTTTTATTAGTCAGTTTACTTGGCTTTTTCTTTTCATCAGCAAAAAATAAGTTTTCATAATCATTTCACGAAGTTCTGGGACCATATTTCTCTCCCATGTCTTAAGAGTGGCATTTATTCTGTGCCTTCTAAGGATTCTATCCTCTTGCCTATAGGTATCTTATTCATCAACTTTGGCTAGCTGCTGTAGGTCAGGAACCTAGCATTTTCACCCCTGGAACCAAAAAAGGGAAATGGCTTCTCAAACCATTTATCAGCTTTGTTTTTTTCACCAGTCGCACACCTTGTAAGTATTACTGGAATAATATCGACTTATATTTGAGAGAATTACTTCTCTTTCTTTAATTGACTCCTTGGTAGGCGACTTAGTACTGCTACATTTTATTTCAGTATATGTTGTGGTGGAAAGAAGGGAGTTAAAGTTTAGGTAGTGGAAGAACTCAGTTTCTTAATGGGACAATGGACAATGACTGGAGAGATCATGAAAGTTATTTGGATCAGCAGTTCACTTTGATAAGTCACCTCAAAACTTCTTGAGGTCACAAAATGGGACATGCCATTACATTATCTGTGTGGAAAGACTGGATATAAATCTTTTTTTTAAATTACAAAATGATTGACTGATGTGTGTTTCATCTGTTGCAAATTAGGTCCTTGGTACTCTCTGAACTTGGTTGTTTTCTTGTAGACGTTTCATTACCCAAACTAGTGCACTGATGATATTACCTAGTTTGGGTAATGAAATTTTTGCAAGAAAACAAGCTCAAAGAGCACCAGGGACCCCTCATTTCAACCCTGTGCCTCAAAGGTTTTCCTTTATCTGTTGTAAATAAAATGCTGTTGGTTTGATAATTGTATATATTATTGAATAAATATATGTAAAGGTCCAGACATAGAGGTTCAAATCAGTTTAAATCTTAAAAGCTATTACAATTTACATATGCTTTGGATATGAAATCACAGAATCATTCAAACACATTTTTATTAGAAAACTAGCCCTATAGCTAATTTCTGGTAGATCCACTTCACTTTGTCTTTCTGAAATTTCACTGATGCTTGCAGATAATGTATCTTGGCTGGTCTTACATACTCTGGCTAGAAGACTGTTAAATCTGTTCATAGAAAGTGGTGGTTGCAATTCAATTGTTATTTTTTATTTATAATACTGTATTATAAATAAAAGCAGCATTGTTACTACATTCCTATTTACTAGAGAATATTTTTGTTCCTGTGCTTTTATTTCATGGAATTTAATAATGAAAGGAAATTGCCTAGGTTTCTCAGGAAATTGCATAGGTTGGCCTCTTACCAAGACACCATTCCTTATCATTAGATAATCATTCTCTGATGTTGAAAATATGCCTGTTCTTCTGTTCTTTTAAGTTGTATATCCTCCTGTTTTTTGTAGGTGGGGATGGCTCCATTATTCCAATGATGGAAATGGATGCCCATCCATGTTTGCTCCTGAGCCCCAAAAAAGTACCCAAAATGGACAGCAGTGACTGTAGGGCACAAGAGAGCTATAAAAGGGAGATTGAAGAAACAGTCACTGGTTCCTCTCCCAAGAAACCAAGAATGGATGCTAGCAATTCTATCAGTAATTCAGAGTTTTCAGCCCTTAGAGGAACCCAAATAGTGGATCTGCATAGAACAGGGGCCAAATGTGTCAAAGGAGAAACAACGGATTCCCGAAGGCCAGGCATTGAATATCATACCATAGGGCTTCTACGGATCAAGCCAGGCCGAGGAGCCCAGACAGCCTCCATGTCTTGTAGTGATAAACTGGCACGCTGGAATGTTCTTGGCTGGCAGGGAGCACTTCTGATGCATTTCCTTCAACAGCCTATCTACCTGCCAGCTCTGGTGGTGGGTCAGTGCCCCTACAGTTGGGAAGCTCTGCACCGAGCCATTGTGGCAAGGTGAGTGAATTATAACTAGGCGACCATGATGGGACAGCACAGCACTTGCGGTTCCTCTTCTTGTTACACAAGTGCAACACGATGGGATACCTTGTCCCTTTTGTAAAGCCTCTCCGCATTGGAGTAGTTGTGATGGGATGGCAAGAGATGTAGTTACCTGGAAGAACAAACTGCCTCTTGAGTTTATGGAAATTATTCATGATGAAAAAGATGTATGACCTAGGCCTAAATTTTCTGTTTGCTTTTATGCTAGCAATGTCCTGGGTAACTGACATCTTGATGAATCTGGAGAATGGTTGTTTTCAAAAATAGGTCATCCTGGTAATAGCGCTGGATGGTTTTTTCAAATTTATTTTACCTAGTCTGTCCCAACTTGTGTATAGAGAGAACCTGTTGGGCAAACCAGTAAGAAAATGAATGGATTAAGCTTTGTGCAACTGTTTTTCTTGTTGGCACAGTCTGTCTTTTTTCCTCCCCTTCACTCTGGTGGGTAAGCAACAAAACAAACATTCTGTCCTAAGCATCCTGAATTTGGAGAGGTCTTTATATTGCAAAAATGTGTGACCTTTTTATATTAAGCAAATTACTTATATTTTATTTGGCTATTGCTGGTCAGAACGGGTAAATTAATTGCTGAGGGACAGAGAACTGTTACTTTTCTTGTTTTCTGCTTCTCCCAAATCTTGTGCTGCTTCCAACATTTAGCAAGAATGACTAATAATTCTACAACTCTTCTTTACAGCTTGAAGAGATAGAAACCTGTTTAAAATAAGCAAAGGACAAAAGTGACATGTCTCGGATCATTGATTGTCTCGCTTCCATTGCCACCTTTTTAACTGCTGTGAAACACATGACTTGGCCTAGCCTTAGTCTGTCTCTGTCTGTAAAATTAGCTCTGTATGCAAAATCTTCCCTATTCTGAGGATTTGTAAACACTAATATAGAAGATGTGGCCAGAATATGTTTGCTTTTTTACACCAAATGGATGACCTTTTGTTATTGCTGAACAAAAGGCAAGATTGGCAGTAAACAAGTCTAATATAAATATTACATTATTCCTCTCCTCCTTCCTAGGTGTCATCTAGTCTCACATTTGCCAGATGGTTTCCAGGTTCAAGAGTTGAAAATTCTACAGTCCCGGCTAGGTTTCATTCATGGTCGTGAAGCAGCCAAGTCTGGCCATGTTCTAGGACAAGGAAAGTTAGTGTCCTGTGGCACAGGTAAATATCATAGAAGGAATATGAAGGGGGTGAATTTGTGAGACTTCTCTTTTGCCCTTTCACATCCTTGCTTATTAGGATAGTGAGCTGGTGGTGAGCTGGTGTGTTGTGGGAACTGCATTTTTGGTCCGTTACAAAAGCTGTGCAAGCCGAGGCTGGGTCTTTGAGCAAATTCCTATAATGATCACTTCCAGTGGTGTCACTGTGACATAGGAAAGACAACTGATGAGCTAAGAGGAGAAGGCTTGATTAATGACAAAGAAGGTGGTGAGTTTTTATCTTTCACATACATGTTGCATGTGCACTTACCTAATAAACATGTTACTAGTTGATGAACTGATTCTTGATTTATACTTTATTTACTTTGTACACTGATTCCCAACAGCTGTGGGCACTTCATAAAAACAAAACTACACAACAAGAATGCTGCAATAAAGAAGGAACGGAAACAGCAAAATGGGGCAGCAACAAAATACACTCACTCCTCCAAAGAGGCTTACCCATCCTAGCCAAAGTCCTGTTCAAAGAACCAAATCTTTGGGGTCCTTTGAAATGCCAGTAGGGTGGAAACCATCCGGATGTGGGGGGAACTTCATTCCAGAGGGCAAGTGCTATGGCAGAGAAGGTGCACTTTCAGAATCCTGGCATTGTTGAATTGAAGGAAACTAAATTATGCCAAGCCTGCCTGATCACAGCAGCCCGGGAGATAGGCAGTCCCTCACATAGGTGAAGTCGCAGTCAGTTCTGGGAACTTCAAAAGGGTCTTGGAAATCAGTTATTCTAAACCAATAGAACTGTGTGGTGAGTCTAGACCTTGAAAGAAGGAAGATCCTTATCTTGGCAACAATCAGATAAAACTTAAACCCAGGCCAAGAAAATGGTTTAGAAAACTTCTTAGGCCATCCCCTTAATTCTCATGAAGATAAAAGGGAGGAAGTAGCACATTTGGATTTGCAAGATTTTGTTACTGTAGCAGTTATAATAAAAATAGCTACATAGCATCTATTTTTTAGCCTGGTATTTATAGTACTGACCGGTTATGAGAGTGACTTTACTTCTAAGCCTACTTTCTAAGAAAACTATAATCTGAATCTTATGTAAAGTTATGAAAGAAGCTCATGCTCCTTGGATACTGTCCGAGATGGGGTGTTGCTTGAAAATTACACTAAAGCCCCTGTGGAAAAGGTTAAATCCTATAAGAAGGAACCTATAAGATTTCTAGCACTGTAAGAGTTGAAGGAAGGGACTTCTGGAAAAGCTGGTGAAATAGGAGATTTCCTGAACTTTAGAAGCAAAATCATACTGTGTGGGTCATCAGTCTGAAGGAATTGTTTTGCAGCAATAGAGATAGCCACTGTTTCTTTGAAAATAACCTCTCTAACCCCATTTTCCAGCTATCAGTTGGAGTGCTGTTCCAGAACATCCATTAGATGTCACTTCACATGGTTTTAAACAAGGGACTTCCAAGAAAAGGATTGGGAGCTTAGCATCCAGGTATATGTTGCCTGCTAAGATTTGAGTGTTCTGGCTGTCAATACTTCATCCTGGATCTCTTTTGAAAAAAAAATATTTGAATGATTTACTTATTGTTTGGTTTCTTGCAGAGTAGTTTGATGGTCTTATGTGTAAATTTGACATTTACAATCTGACTTTAAAGCATGGCTCTGAAAATCCATGCTGTTGATTGGAAAATCACAGAATGGTTTCTTTTTAAAAACAAACCATTCTCTGTTGAAAATGCCTTCCTTTTCTTTTGCCCCTGCTGTTCATGCTGTTGCAGAGACTGGGCAATGTTTTAGTAGCCAGGGACTTCCTGATTTTCCCTCCAATTTGTGTAGGGGCATGACCTGAAGTCCTAGTGTCACCTGAGTGAATACAGCGAATTTTGGGTGGTAAATTTAGGAGTACATTTTGGCCCCTTGAAACCCACATTGGGGAAAATAGCGGCGCATGGGATTAGTAGAAGTGTGTTAAGGAGATTAAATGAAGACTTCCATTTTGTTTGCCCCTTAAATCTTCTGAGTGAACAAGGCCGAAGTTTTCAACTGGTAGTGCTGGTAAGTGAACTGGGGAATGTAAAATAGATGGGGTGCAAGTATGGGGAGTTGTTTCCTCCGCCTGTTATAAAAGAATTGGAAAACGGCCATCACCTTGGCAAAATGTCCTAAGAAGGGTTAGAATTCAGATTGTGAAATTCTGAAGAGTTTATGAGACTACTGCCTGAGATAATTCGGTGCAATAGGATGAGCTTCTGGCTAGGCTGTGGTCCACTTATCGATGATACCCTGAAGTTTTGCCAGCAACTGTGGCTGGCAACTTCATAGGTGGAAGTGGTCTGCTTTGTAACACACTTGTGATTGGTGCTGGCCTGACTGAAAATCAATATATGTAGATTAAGTCAATTGATTAAAGAAACAAACTATAAATGCACTCTTAGTATTCTTTGTCCTTATTTGGTGATTTTGGATTCAAGTTATAGTTATTAAATATTCGCTTGACAACAGATGGATTTTTAATTTCCTGTTGCATGTGCTTGACTTATTACTTAGGCATGTCATGTGCCTCTTCTTGCCAACAAATCCTTGTCTGCCTTGGCTCTGCCTAGAGAGCAATGGATGTGTCCTTCTTGCAATTCAATAGAACCAGCCACTTGGATGACAAAACGGGGGATCTTTGGGTTGATTGAGAAAAAGCAGAGGTTGGAGCAAATGCTTTAAAGCCTTGCATGAGCTAACAAGTGACTTTTGCTGACTGTTTTCTGGAGGAGGGGATAAGCCATGCTGACTGTATGATGATCACTTCTTCCTAGGACAGTCATATAACATAAATTGCAATTACTTCCTCCCACATAGGGTTTGTTTATGACAAAGCAATTAATAAAAGTGTGCATTTAATAAGGAACGAATTCACCTGAGCTATACCACATTATGTGGTATGAATTCCTGTAAACTTTGCAGCTGTAAAACGATTTGTGCAAAGGTCTAAAGTCATTTGAGAGCATATAGGGAAGTGATAAAGCAGCAAGGCTCAAAGAGTGTTTATATGCCTTTGTGTTGCACTTTGGTGTTTTTTTTTACTGGCCACTTTGCAGAAGACAGAAACTAATAATTAACTTTGAGAGGACAGAGTTTGACCCGGAAGATGAACTAGGTAGAACTAGGTTAGCAAATTTGAGTAGTTTTTATAGGATAAAAGTTCCATCTGATCACTAGGAGGAAAGCTTTTTGATTCATGGATAGTAGAAATGTGCATTTTTACTGCTTAGAAAATGAGTATAGTTTGTCGGAAACTGTAAAATTGTAAGCAATCTGTTAACATGTGCAGTCTGTGAGTGAGCGAGCATCTAGGGATATTTTGTCCCAAATGTCATTCTGGAGAGGGTATTTGTGATTGTTAAGAGTTAATATATTGCCTTGATGACTCATAGTCAATTGGTAATCATCTGCAATACTCATGGTTAACACTGAAAGTGTCACAGCAGGAGTTGGATTTGATGCGTGCAAGATCTATCCACCACCCAGTCAATACCAGACTATCTATAAATGGAGCCTTCAGTAACAGGGTGATGCCTACAGTTACTTGATGTTACTAAGCACAAATATCACCAGTGTGTGTCATTTCTATACCCTCCAAAATCATTTGGGCCAAATATATGTGGCATATATTAGTATAATACACCTGATATTTGATTATGAACTATGAGGTTTAGGAACAGTTAAAAATAAATCAACAATGATTAAATGAGTATCTTTTGGTAAAGCATTCAGATACTGGATTCTCTTGTAGTCAGCCAACTACACCAGTTTGATTCCCCAATATCAATTCTCTTGGTAGCTGGGCATCTTGTAGAGAAACACAAATATTGGAATAGTTATTGTTGTGGTCTTTTGCTATGGGAATTTACCAGAAAGTATATCTGACTGGAACTTGCTCTGCTTTTACTGACAGGTCTCGAATTTGCAGAATGGAACTTTTCCATGCTTTTCTAGAGGTGGTGGCCAGCATTCCTCTGAAAAACCTACCAGAAACTCTCACGTAAGACTTTTAATTTTCCCAAGACTTGTTATGACATCACCTTATTCTCTTCTCAGATCATGGGTCATTTCAGGGTTTCTTTCTCTCCTATATTTAACGCATCCACTTTTTGGTTTTCAATTGCTGTGCATCGTATGTTTTGCTCTGTTTGCTGTTTTGAACCCGAATGTGCACATGAAGGCTTTAAAGATCAGTTTCTTTATACTGTGTCTTCCCTGTTGGGAGTGCTGCTTTGCCTCATGCCCACAGCAGCCTAGCTTTTCTTGTCTCTTACCATCCCAAATCTACCCGATAGAGCAGTAAATCTTTCTAAGGGATTGACTTTGGGTATGATGGAGTGATAGTGCATTCCTTTTTGGTCATGTGCTATTCATGTTTTCACTATCCCTGCCTTTTTCAAAAATATTTTTCGAAACTATCACTTGCCCTAGACACATTTCCATGGTGAGCAGGCAGCTACTTTCTGCTTTATATTAGCACGAGATTAGATGAAATCTAAACTACCGAAGATAGAGGATTTTATTTTATTTTTTCTGCTTCTGAGAAGGCAAATATTTTTTTTTGTAGTCCTTGAAGGTTGACAACTGTCACTTTCAATACAGGTAGTTCTTGGGTTACAATGGCAGTTAGGGCTGGAATTTACATTGCTAAGCAATGTGATAACAATCCTGGCTCTCCCCATTGCCATTATTAAGCAAGGACCTTGTGGGATGGCAACTTGCAGTTTCATGCTGGCTTCCAAGAAGCAGAGTCAGTGGGAAAGTTGACAGGAAGCCACAAGTCTCAGCAGCTCACAAACAGGCTGCTATACAGGCGAGTTATGCAGTGTAGGCGAGGGTCATACAGCTAATAAAATGTGAGTGTAAACTAATATAAATTAGGAAGTATTTAGAAAACCTTAGGTGCCCCTGTAGAGCTTTTCTTTCCAAACTTTAGTGAAACTGAGCCTGCTTTTGTCCACCTTCAGTTTCTTTTCAAGGCAGTGAACACTCACCCCGGATTAAGGCCCTATTCTGTAGTTTTTTCTGTGCAAGAGGCAGAACTGCCAGTGAGCTTTCCCCCTATATACAGTAACATCTTTTAGCAAACAGATGGTTGCAGCTTTTGGTAAGGCCCCAAGTCTGCTACGAAAGGGTAGCGTTGAATGGTTGTCCATCCACGCCTTGAGCCAGAGAGCAGGAGTTCATCCCAAGTGTCACTTGCTCTCTTTAGAGCCAAGAGACTGCGGACATACTGGGAGTACAAAGAAGCTGCTGCTTCATACCAAGAGGCATGGAAGGAACTGCGTAGTCAGGCCTTTGGTGCCTGGGTGAGGAGCAGCCGCCATTACCAGTATTTCACATGAAGGAACAGAGTGACTGTGTCTGACTATCACTTACGCATCTCTCAGCTGTTTGGCACAATTAATGTTTTTTTTTTTAAAAAAAATCATAGCCAATACTAAGAACATGTCAGTGCTTTTGGCACTATTCCTCTGAAAGTAATGTTTTCCTCCAAAACACATTGGGAAGATTTTGGAATAAAGTATATGTACTCCTTTCCTTCTGCTTGGCTGAGTGTTTATATTCTGTTGATCCACAATTTTTGGTGAAAATTTGAGGCTACACACATCCCCATCCTGAAAACAGGACAACATTCTGAATTTGCAAAGAAGGCATATACAGTTTTTCTTGCTGCCCTCTGGACTTGGAAGCTTAATAATACTATAATAACTCTCACCTCCACACCCCTTCAATATTTACTCCCTGGATTGTTCTTTCTCCATGTTGGTTTTAAGAATATAATTTTTGACAGAGCCTTAATGAATTGTGATCACCGTTACCAGCCTGTACTATCATATTGCCACTGTGATAGTAATGTGGGATTGTAATAGGGGATGTTCACTTATCAAGAGGCTGCAAATTTCAGAGTTGTGATAATTGTAAAGACTAACAACATGAAACAAGTTCTCTCAAACCTCCAAACTCAAAAGCGGTCCCAATCTCAAACTGATATGCAGCAGGATACTAATGAACAGATAGTGACAGATTTGAGGAAGATCAAACAAAAATTGGAGTGTATATTGTATCCATGTACAGCAGGACTATTGACATCCAAAGTACCTTAGAAATATTCCTTATTTACAAGAACTTCTAGTAGTATTGGTGGAAAATCAAGTTATATTACCATTGTTGTAATTATCAAGTCAGAAGGCTACAAGATTTGATGGAATATATTTGGAAATATAGCAAGCAACAGAAGAATCAGTAAAGTCTGTAGAACCAAACCATATTAGCAAATCTGGAGCTCACAGATTGTTAGAGGTTGGTTGACGTATCAGTATTAAAGAAGACTTAAGTAATTGTGCAAACCCTCATATAGTTCCTTAACGCTTAGAATGAGTTCAGTTTAGAGTCCTGCATGAAAAAAGAAAGTCCAGATGTTAAGCTGACCCTAGGAAAAAAACGGGAACAGACATTGTTGCTGATGCACACAGTATAATTGAGAAAGTCTGAAAATAACCAAAAATAGTCAATATGTTTCAATGACTATGGAAAGGTGTGCAATTGTGTCAACTAAGTCAAGCTGTGGAATGTCCTTAGGAAGAATTCCAAAACAATATTTGTCTTCATGTGAAACGCACAGGGTAGGAAATGACAATCCAGATTGTGAAACAGACTGGTTTCAGTTTGGGTTAAGGACAAGGACAGAGACAACAAAGATGATGACCCTGATTCCAAATTTCCTCCCAGCCCGAGAGTGCTACGCTTCCAAGAAAGATCTGCATGACCTGCAGCAAGGGCAATCCACTCAGCACAGGCTTCATTTAAAAAGCATCATTGCCAGCCTTTCTCTGAGAAAACTCCTTGGAACCTGCAACAGTTGATGATCTGCCTTTGGATTTTTTGGAATGTGAACTGTGACTTGATGCACCTTTTCCTTTGGGCTTGGACTAAGTGCACTAAAGTTAGTAAATAGAATTTGGAACTGTGGTTGTGTGCATACAGAACCAGTTAGCCCTGCTTCTGAGTTAAGACAGGGTAAAACTTACACATGTGTAACTTGAGGTAGAATATATATTGAAAAGATGAGATTACAATTTAATTACAAATACCAATTTAAGGGCAACAAGGATAGCAAGCAGCTTTAGAGTGCTTTAGACAATGAACACTGAATAGTTTCAGCTTTGACTGGCCTATCAACTAAAGGAATGGGCAGTTAGGATATATAGCAGACTAGTACTTGGTAGGGTAAAATGAAGTCATTGGTACATACGCACAAATGAAACCAGTTGCCTCAAGTAGAGGGGAAGAGTTTCAGGCAGAGATACTATATTTAAGATAAAATGATCGACTATTCAGCTGAATAAACAATTTAAGGTTCATCTCCTACAGGAGTAAAAATAATTTTGCAACCTCCCTAGGGTGTCCCTGAATGATTTTATATTGTCTGAAAAATGTCTTTTGTATGCTTAATCTTAAAATGCTATTTTATTTTTTAAAAAAAAACAAATACAAAGCAATATTGCAAAATTTTTGTGACAGTAACTTTAATTGTTGCTTCTTAAGCAAAATTCAATAAAAGCAACACGCTAACCAAGATAAACATATCAGCATCCTTAGGGTAATACAGAAACTGCCATTTCTATGAAACTGTAATTATGCTAATATTTAATTTCAAAATCCCTCTCCCATCTACGGTTGCATCCGTATTTGAATAATGTCATTAAATATGTCCCAGCGGAAAGGATGCAATAAAATTTACAGCTATGGTTATACGTGTAATGGAAAAATAAAATTTTATAAATTACTAAGCTAACCAACAAAAATCTATATCTTAAATCAACCCAGTGACAAATGAAAAATGCCCCTCAGGGTCATGATGAAGAACAAGAGGCTATTTACAAAGCAGCAGGGATGGAGATGAAATCAGAAACCAAAGGTGTTTTCTCCACTGTAAGCCACGTACAAGAAGCCATCCTCATCTTTCTCCTTCTCATAAAGCTGTCCCATGGTTAAACTGTAAGAAAAAAAAACAAAGCAGCAAGAAAACCATCACATACTAACAAAAGGGGAATGTGCAAATCAAAAAGCAGGGAGGGTGGATGAGAGTGAGGAATGAGTAACCCTGTCAACTAAGCTTTGCTGCCTGTTGAGCTTTAAATGTATGAATTTGGATACCTTGTTAAATACATTAAAGAGACTTAAGCTTTTTTCCACTTGACTGTCTCTGCCTAGAGAAACCATAGAGAGCAGAAATTTGAGATGGTTAGCTTTTTTGTATTTTGGTGCAAAGTGAAAAAAATTGGGAAGCAACAGAAAACAAGGTCCTGTATAGTGGATTAAATAGTGCAGTAGACTGAAAATGGAAACTTGATAACAGTTTCCTTAAATTAACCCCTACCCTGATCAGATTTTCATGTACAAGGATTGGCAAGTGGTGCATATCCTACCCTGATATCTTGGCTCCCACAATCTTATGCCACTAACTATATTGGCTAGAACTAATAGTTGAGTTCCCATTGTAAGCACTTTGCACAGGGACAGGGACATCAAAACCAAACATTTTAATTATTGTGAAATGTTAATAGAATTTAACCTGAACATCATCTAGGAAATGTAAGCTCTAGCTAATTGAGAGAAGAAACCTTTTCTACTTTAGGAAGTGGCTTCATCTACTATCCAAGATTTTATGGGAGGACTCCACAATTTCCAGAAATTAAAAGCCAACTTTTGTCCTATTACTACACACAACCCACCCACCAACCCCTCACCTAGACTGGGGGACAGTCTTGTCTACAAAGAGAAATATGGCCTTCTCGGAGGGCAACTGGATCCGCTTCCTGATGATCCACATAAACTGAGCCACGGTTATGTCCGAGGGAACCAGGTACTTCCTCTTGTCGATGTCCACGATCTGAGATCCCGAGACCTTTTCCACGATCACCTGCATCGAGACGGAGGAAATTTATCTCGGCCAGCACCCCTCCCCCCACCCGGCCTTCTTTCAGCCCCGCCACTGAAGCGCCGGGAAGGGGAGACGAGCAGCGGCTCCGGTCGCGTGTTTGCCCGAAAGAAACACGGGCGCGTCAGTTTTTCTAGGGACGATCCACCGGGGGGAAAGGGTCCTGGCGCCTCCCGTTCCCTGGGAAAGAAGGGCCTGCCAGTCTTCGCGGAGCCCTCCGCCCCCATGGCGGGCCGCTGCCGGGAGGCTCGGGGCGGAGCCTGCGGAAAATAACAAGGCCGCCGACGTCCGGCCTGGGCACCCCGGGGCCCCCTCGGGCGGCCTCTGCCCTCGAGCGAAGCCCGCTTGCCGTTCCGCCGACTCACCGGGACGCGGTCGGGGTACTTGGCCCGGATCTTGGCGGACTCCACGCACCGATGCTCTGCGGAGAAGACGAGGAGAACCGCGTCAGGCGGCCGAGCCCGGCCCCCGCCCCGCCCCTCCGCCCGGCGCGGCCCGCTTACCCAGCGCGTGGTCCTCCTTGAACATCCACTTCATGGTCGGGCGAGGCGGGCGGCGAGTGGGCGAATTGGGCCTGTTGTCCTCAGCAGCTCCTCGGCAGCCGCAGCAGCCCCTCTGCGCACGGGGGGTGGGACTTCCGCCGACGCTCACGCGGATGCCCCCTCCGCCGCGGCGATTGGCTGGCAGGGCGGCGCGTCCGTCGCCGTGGAGACGCGCAGCGGCGGCATGGCCTGGCTGGAGGTGGCGGCGGGCGGCGACGGGTGGCGTGGGCGAGTCCGGCTGTGCTCCCTGGCGGCGCTGGGGCTACTGCTGCTGGGGGCACTCACCTACGTGCCGCCCCTGTTGGTGGCCTACCGGAGCCACGGTGGGTTCGGCGGAGGGGGCGCCCCGGGCAGAACTGTCGCTCGCCCGCCCGCCCGGTCTCACTCGCTCTCTGTCTCCGCGCAGGCTTCTGGCTCTCGCGGAGCAGCTACGCCGAGCAGCCCAGCGTCCGCTTCCGGCACGAAGTGCTCCTGGCCGCGCTGACGGAGAGCGGCGGCGGGCCGGTGGGCTGGAGTTCCTTCGCCGCCTTCAACCGCCTGCTGGGCACCCGGCTGCGCGTCCCGCTCGTCTCGGTACGGCGGGGGTGGGGGCGGGGGGCGAGTCCCCCTCCGGAAAGCCCCGGGGCCGGAGTCCGCGTGGTTGCCCGTCCGCCGTCCGTGGAGTGGGGGGGCAGCCGTAGACGGAGGTCTTCCAAATGTTTCTTCTGTGTTCCAGGCTCGGGAGGAAGACTCTAACCAAGATGGAGTAACGGACCTGCTCCGTTTCCAGCTGGAGCTTCCACTGCTCCCCTCGGAACGAGTGGTGGGGATTCAGCTCCTGCTGACTTTCTCCTACGAGTTACATGTGAGTGTCCTCAAGCGGCAGCAGGGAGGGTCTCCCCAGCAGCCCTTTAGGTGTGAGGACGATCGGGCCTTTCCCTGGTCTTCGTTTGAAGCAGAACAGCGTTTCTGTGCAGTTAGGCAGACTGAAGGCCTTTAGCTTCAGCGGAAAGTGAGATGAGCAGAAAAACTGCTTTGCTGAAAAGGAACCTGTTGCATAACTATCAAGTGATAGAAACATGTACTGATGAACAGTATTGTTGATTATCAGAGGCTCTGGATAGCTAATTATCATTTCTCTCCTCCAAAACGGAGTGATAAAGCAGAGCCAGTTTGGTCTGGTGAAGGCTAGAAGCCAGGAGACCCTGACTTCTAGTCCTGCCATAGGCACAAAAGCTGGCTGAGTGACTTTGGATCCGCCACTGTCTCAGCCCAACTTACCTAATAGGGTATTTGTTATGGAGAAAATAGGAGGAGGAAGGAGTATTGTGTGTGTTGGCTGCCTGGAGTTATTTATAAAAATAATAAAGGTGGGATATAAATAAATAATGTAGAGTGCAGGTCTGGAGAGAATCTGAGCAGGGAACTTAATAGTTACAGTACTCAGGATACTCAGTTTGAGAAAAGACTAGATAAACAAAACAATGCATAATCTAGGAAAAATTAACATGGGAGCATTTTTAGCAGAATACTGAAACGCTTTCATGTAATAAAATTGAATAGTGGGAAAATCAGAATGGATAAATGGAACTCTATTGATTGGTGCCAATTGGGGTGGTTTAAAAGGCAATCGTATTTACAGAGGACAGTGCTTCCTATATATAATGCAGCAGGGGATGTGGTTTATACAGTATATCTAAATGCTTTTTTCTGAGGAAATGTGCAGCTCTGTTCATGTCCTATATGGAGTTTGTCTTGTGATTGGTATTGAAATAGAAATGTTGTGGATTGTACATCTTTTAAAATGTCCTTGTACCATAAATTTAAAAATTGCAACCACTTCTATTTTTTCAGATTCTTTAAATCTTTGGGAATTCTATATATAGCTGCTTGGTCTAACTAAGAGACTGTATATTTCTCAGTAGTTCTGATCGTATTTTTTGTGATGTGATGCTAAGATTGTGGCATAACAACTCCCTCCCCATCTTTCTGTTTTATTTGCTGCTCTCATTTCAGAGAATGTCCACCTTTGTGATGCAGAGCATGGCTTTTTTACAGTCTTTTTCCCCTGTGCCAGGATCACAGGTGTTTGTAAACGGAGATCTCAAACTTCATCAGAGGCAGCCCCTTCACCATGCTGGGCTGGATAGCAGATATAATGTGAGTGTTGTCCCTCTTATCTCACTTTTTTCAGCTGGTTCTGTTGTCCTTTAACTATTTTTTTCTTCTGCAACTGCTCTGGCTGAAATTATGTTTGAATTTCTGAACTGAGAGATTTTTTTTCAGAATATTTATCAATAATAACTGTTGTTTAGTTTAGTGATCACAATTGGGACTGGCAACTTGGTTGTTAAACGAAGAAGTAGCTAAGTAAAATTGAGATTATGATTACAATTTACTTCAGCCTTACTTTTTTAAAATGTTAATTTTAAAGATAAAAAACTGAAGGAGAAAAAGTATTGTTAGATGCAAAATTAAAAAGAAAGCAAAGCCATAAAAACATATAATCTCCCTCCTTAAAAAGAATGTTATTTGGATGCATATATCTTGCTCAAAAAAATAAAGGGAACACAAAAATAAGACATCCTAGATCTGAATGAATGAAATATTCTTATTAAATACTTTGTTCATTACATAGTTGAATGTGCTGACAACAAACTCACACAAAAATTATGAATGGAAATCAAATTTAGCAACCCATGGAGGTCTGGATTTGGAGTTACACTCAAAATTAAAGTGAATGGCATGGTCTACAGGGGAGAAAAGGGCCTTGATCCTCTTCATGGGCTGCAGCTGTGAGAACTGTTTAAAAGGACGGACATGCGTATGGGCCAGTGCTGGAAACAAAGGATGAACATATCTCTGTCTGTTCCTATCTGAGTTTGGCGTCCTTCCCAGTGTGTTCTGATCTCTGTGGACATCTTCAAGCCCTTATCTTGCCTGGTTCCCTTAATTGCTAGTGTGGTTTATGTTGTTTTTGCTATTTATAATTTATAGGCATTTCTAGTTTTAAATGGCATTTCTTCTTTTTTTGTCTCCAGTAAAGGATATTTGGAGCTGTGAAGCCAAGTTGAAGGAATAAAAGGGGCTTCACCTGTTTTTGTGGCTTTTTTGTATTTTGTATCCCACCCTGTGTAATCACAGAAAGGCTTTTTGTTTATATGAAACCAAGTCTTTTTACCCAGTAGAGTATTACAAGAATACAAGTTAATCCAACATTAAAAACCTGTATGGTATCATATCACTTGTTATATGCCTAAAAATATTCATCATGTGTTCTGATGCAAGTTAACAATTAGTAAGATCCTGTGTCCAATGCAAAATTCTCTCACTATGACAGGTATCTGTGATCAATAGTACAAGTCCTTTTGCCCAAGATTATGATTTTGTGAACATTGTTGAAACATATCAGAAGAGGAATGGTGAGTTTTCACAGAAGTTCTAAGTTTTTGTACGCAAAATGTTTCTGGTCTTTCTCAGATCATTTGCCTTAATATTAATTACAATTATTTCCTTTACAGTTACAACAGTTTTGTCTGGTCCCAGTCCCATTTGGGTGACTGGAAGATCACCAGATCAACCATTTGTGATCCAGGCCTTCATCCATTATCCGATGGAATTGATTGTATATCCTTTGGCTACCAGTTGGTAATATGGTTTTGGTTCTTTGAATGATGGTTTATGGCACTTGGCCTCAACCACTAATACAACTATGGCTGTTGTATCAAGATTTGTAGCTTACCTAATATTAGGTAGCTATGTAAGAAAAATGCCATGAAACTCAAACAGGATGTATCTATAGAGAATATTTCTAGTATTTAAAAAGAAAGCTTAAAAGTTTTATGGTACATTTTATATTGATCTGGGGGAAAGGAGATCTTGGGGATTCTCATTTCTTGACTGTCCCTGGCCACTCTTGGGAAGAGGTGGGATGCTTCCCAGTTCACATTACTAGCCAAAAGAATCGGAAGTACACATCCTTGCCTTTGCATGAAGATGCTTCAGATTCCAAATACTCCTTGACTTTTTAGTACATATCAGCCAGGCTTCTGGGAGATGGTGAAATTTGCCTGGATGCAGTACATTAGCATCCTCCTGATTTTTTTGTGGATTTTTGAAAGGATAAAAATCTTCCTTCTTCGAAATCAAGTGCTGAACATGGTGCAGATGTCTCCACTTCCCCCACTGTTGTCCTATAAAGAGCACAAATCCTGACCAAGCCTGCACAGGAGAAAGAACTTTGCTCTCGGTGGCTTCCACTGCTTTGCATTTGGCAGATGAGGCTTTCCACAGGTTGGGTGTATATATTATTTTGCAAAGTTTATCGGTGGGTCCTCAGTATAGATTTTCTTTGCTATCCTATTTTTATAAATCTCATTGTTATGATTATCAGATGGCATATCAACCAGAATCCATAGTGACAAGATAAACAATTTAATGAAAGTTATACAAATGAGTTTTGGTACATAACTGAATCCCAATCTTGATGGCAAAGTCCTCTAAAAGGAATTAACTACAGAAACAAAAAGAGTTCTCAATTCTCTGAAAAGGCAGATTTTCTCTGCAAGAATACCGAAATAAAGAACACCTTTGTTCTTTTTCCTTTCTGTTTGCAATATCCCAAGGAGAAAATCAAGGGAATAAGAGCCATCATCAGCCAGGAGCTGATATTGTCCCAGAAAGTTTGGGTTCTTTCACCTGGAAAGCAAGTCCAATGAACCATGCCAGATAGATGGATAGGGAAAAAAACTTACAGGCAAATAAAAGGGTTACTCTGAAGCAAGTTCCATTTGCACCCTTGCTTGGAACAGACCTTTTATATACAATTTTGAAAGGCATTCATTGTCATGGAAACACATAACATCATTGACCAGTCATTAAGAGCAGTATCACGCGTAGTTATATTAGGTGGGCATAGTAACTCAGTTTAACTAAAGGTTACAAGGTATGTTAAAGGGTAGGTTGAAACCTTTGTCTTATCGATCTTTTCAGTAACAACATTCCTAAGTAATTTGGTACCACGGTCTCATCCAGCATGCTAGGGAGCCAAGGATTCCCGAATAGAGGAAGACAGACTGTTTTTAACTCAAGAGCATTGTTATTTCTGCCTGTAAAAAATGTTCAGCGCTGCTGTGGGTAGATGCATAACGATTATCTTTTAGAACTGAGTGCAACAAAATTTTATTTTAATGTATGCTGCTTAGTGTACATTTAAAGTGACAAAAGTTTTTATTCTCTATTATATTAAAACATTTCAACTCGTTGCAAGTTGAGACCAGGCCAGAACCATTCCATCCTTATCCCTTTGTGCTAAGCAATAAACAGCACTTTAATATGTGACTGTTTATTAAGATATAAAGGTAATTGGATTAAGGCTAAATAAATTGGGTCACGAGCCATTTTTTGCCAAACTTCCTCATCCTTTGCAAACATGGGCAATAAAGAAGAAAGCAGAACTTCTCCCACAGAACTTTGGGTGTCGCCTGGTGAAGCTGCTTTTGTCGATTTAAGAATTGGGGTAGGGGAAGCTTCCTTTTCTTCAATGGCTGTGAGGTAAACGCAGCTTCTCATCACGGAGAGGTTCTGCCAGGCCCCTTTAACTCCTGCACCGAGAGGTTCGCTGCTGCGGGACGGCCGGCTGCGGTGGGGCTGGAGGGAGGGAGCGAGCGAGCCTGTTTATTGGGCACTGCAGTCGGCCCCCCTCTCCAGTCCAGGTGGGAAGAAGCGCCCCCCCCCCGTCTCCACCCTCCTTAGGGCCAGTGCCTGATTGGCGCCTCCCCCGCTGACGCCCCCCGCCCAAGCCCCCTCCTCCCAGCAGCCGTAGGGGAAAGGCCACGTCTGAATGCCGCTCATTCTATGCGGAGCCGGCGCTGCAGCCTCATCTTCCTGCCACCTCCGGACCAGCCGCGACCTCGTTAGTCGCCCACCGGCAGATACCGAGGTTAGGGGCCGGGATGGGCTGGTGCCGGGGGGGTGTAGCGGCTGGAAAAGTCGTGGCGCGCCTTCTTCCTCCGACCGGGACGCGGAGCTTCCTCCCCGCGGGTGTCTATCCCATCAGCTAGGTTAGCAGAGGCGCTGGCGGACAGTCGCGCGTGCAGGACCGGGCGCCTTGCACGGCTGCCGAGCGTCTGAGGATGGACCGGGAAGAGCGTCCGCATCAGGGCCTCGGCGCCGGCCGGCACAATTCTCAACAGCTGCGCTATTGCAAGCGTGGAATCTCCCTCCGCTCCGCGATTTTAGGCTAAATTTCAGGGCTGGGCGGGGCCGACTTCTGAATCCCAAACCTTCTAGTGGGAACGGCTGCAGCTAAAACGAGCCCCCTCCCTTCAAAAACAGTCGTGGAGAGATTTTTGCGCAGGAACAATGTGAAGATTTTTTCCCCAATAGCAGTTAGGCTTCTGTACCGCTTCATAGTGCTTTCCAGCCCTCTCTGAGCACTTTACAGAGCCAGCCTCTTGTCCCCAACAATCTGGGTCCAGGTTTTAGCTCGGAAGGATGGAAGGCTGAGTCAACCTTGAGCAGGTCAGCATGGAAGGAATCAAACTCCTGGCAATGTGAGCAGAGTTAGCCTGCAATACTGCATTCTAACCACTGCACCGCCATGCGTTTGAAAATCTTGTACCCCAAAAAATATTCTTGTCAAAATCTTCTTGTACCCAAAGAGCAATTATTTCCCTTTTGTATTTTACAAAAACATAAACTGCAAACTCTTAAGTGTGTTCACTCCCATAATATTAGAGAGAGGCTGAATTATGTCCATATCAATTTTAAGGCTGTGTAAAGGAAATGATACTTGCATTGTTGCTAGAGTAAATAATCCATAGAAATTGGAATAGCAGAATTATTATATAGCTTGTTTATTAACACCCCATACACATTTCTTTTAGCTTGTCTCATCATTGTGGATCCTTGACACAGTAATCTGGGATTCTCCATACAATTCATTTATCCACCCCCAATCTGTAATTTGCAAAACTGCTAAAGCATAATTCCATCAAACTGATGCTATAAAAAGTGGCGATCCCCTTCTCGCCATCATTCCAGTCATACTCAGCTTCACCCAGGATGCTGAGGCTCCGCCTTTCCAATGCCACAATTGCAATTATCTTGGCAATCCAGACAGGATTTCTAGTCTTTCTATATACTCAGCAAGGTGGCTTCCTTCCTCAGTCTATGGAAAAACCTGCTCAGGTGCACATCCTCATCCTTTCGTCTTGGAGGTCAGGCTCTTCCTTTGTGGGGCAACTCTTCAGTCAGCATCCCAATGTCTTCTATCTAATGGAGCCAGCCTGGCACGTGTGGGCAACCATGTACCAAAACAGTGCCAAAGTCTTGCACATGGCAGTGCGGGATCTCATCAGGTCCGTCTTCAAGTGTGACATGTCAGTGTTTGATGCCTACATGCCCTGGAAGAGAAACAGAAATTTGTCTGATCTGTTCCAGTGGGCTGTGAGCCGGGCATTATGTACAACACCTGCTTGTGAATTCTTCCAACGGACTGATATTACTGGGGAAAGTGCTTGCAAAACTCTCTGCGGCAAGTATCCTTTCAGTAAAGCGGAAGAGGCCTGCACGACCTATAGCCACATTGTCCTAAAGGAAGTCCGTTTCTTTGACCTCAGAGTCCTCTATCCACTCCTCGCTGACCCCTCGCTGAACCTCAAAATCATCCATCTAGTCCGTGACCCCAGGGCTGTCCTGAAATCTCGGGAACAATCTGTCAAAGCCCTCGCCCATGACAATGGAATAATTCTGGGTATAAACAGCAGCAGAGCGGATGGCGGTGGATTTAAAGTCCTGCAGGAGATTTGTAGAAGCCACGTTCAGATCTACGAAACAGCTAGTCAGAAGCCTCCATTATTTTTAAAAGATCGTTATTTATTGATCCGATTTGAAGACATCGTGCGGGATCCTTTAATGGAAATTACTGCAATGTATACATTTACAGGTCTTCTATTGACCCCAAAACTTGAAAATTGGATCTATAATATTACACACGGACAAGGACCGAGTAAGAAGAAAGAAGCTTTCCAGATTACTTCTCGAGATGCAATCAATGTTTCTCAGGCATGGAGAAATGTTCTTTCATTTCAGAAAGTCCAAAAAGTGCAAGAAGTTTGTAGAGGTGCTTTAAATATACTCGGTTATCAATTTTTAAATTCTGAGAAAGAGCAGAAAGATTTGTCTTTAGATCTAATATTACCTCATCGGAGAACCCAATTTCGCTGGGCATTGTTTCGTGAAAACTAGATCAAATAACTTGAAAAGATTTGTTGGTTTCAGTACATCCGAGTTCTCTTAGAACTTCATCTTATCAAACCAAGGAATTGTATGTTTTTTGCGTTTGCCTAACTTCCAGACTAGCCTCATAAAATAACAAGAAATTACTTTTCATCTGCGCACAGTTATAATTTTGATATGCTATCAAACACCACCTTGCTTTTTGTTTTCTTCCTAAGAAGAAAAAATGTGATTTTTTTTGCTATATAGTTTGAAATCAATATTCGCGAATCAATATTATCGGGCATATTTTTATCATATTGACAGTAGCAGTATCCTACACCAAGCAGATGAATATTGCATATGTGTGCAGTTTATTTATGTTATATGCTAGCATAACAAATGGGGCCGACACCACAGATCATTTGCGAAAAATGTGCATGTTTAGTTTCTCACATTATCTATGCAGATACCCTAGTAATCTCTCTCTACTACCTCTGTCTGCACTAGGCTTTGGGATGCACTAGGAGCTGGGAATAAAAAATAATTTAGATTGGAGGAGGAAGAGGGGGGGGAGGGGAGGAGTGGCAAATATGGGGTTGGCAGATGGGAAAGTCTTAAAAAGAACCCAGGAGGTTCATGGGAAGAGAAGGGGATTGGAAGCAGAGATGACAGTTGGCAGCTAAAATGATCAACATACACTTAATTCTAACATCCGTTGAAGATTGATTTTAATTTAGAGAAAAGGGAGCCGATCATGCTTTGAACAGAGGGGGTTCTGTTTCTGCTGAAGGCTTGTTACTTCTTAAAAGATCATAAGTAACTGAAAAAATTATAATATTAAATTTAAATCTCACTAAACATTAAATGTAATCATAACTCAGTTAATGTCAATCAAAATCACATTAACTTCTGTTTGTTCCATCATCAAGGCAGCTTTAATTCGTATAAATAGAATGGAGAATTCTAAGCTAAGGGATCACCGCAATTCGCATCAATCTTAAATGTTGGAATAAATTACAAATGAAAAGTTTGGCAGAAGCAAAGTTTTAGCACCTGGGTAAATGCTGGAGAACAGGGGAAGAAGAGCCTTTCTCTGAAGACCACCTTTCCCACTTTGGGACACAGCAGGAGAGAAAACCGCCGTCATCTCTCTACTAAAAAGCCTGGCTCCTGGCAACAGCTGATTTTCCAAAGGGCCTGTCTCGCTGGGCAGGTTCACAACCAGGCAGGGGGATGGAGGTGCATTTGCCGAATAGTCACCAAGGTAACCAATACATTAATCAGACTTTCTGTTGATTAAACTTCACAGGTAATCTGTATATCGTATCATTTGACCACTTACTTATTGATGCATCACACATATACAACGTACGTATCATTTGTTTCTTTACACTATAACAACTCGATCTGAACTGTTAGCTTTGCCTGAATTTCTCGGCGATTTGTATTTTCAGGAAACCAAGAAGCCCCTTTGCACGTTTTCTCTCTCAAATTTGGAGGATAGGTCTTTAGCTCCATGCCCATTCAGGGGGCCTGGTTTTTGAGACAAGGCTTGGTTTCCATTAATCGGGATGTCCCTTTTTCAGTAGCACATTTTAAGGAGCTGATACTTATCTGATTTGCTTTCTGGTTTTAAATTTAACTCATGTAGAGACTGAGTCCTCGCTCAGTCCCATTTGCCACAGTGTTTAATTTCAGAAAGAGTACGTATCGGAGGGGAGCCCACAAATAAAAGATACGCACTGATATTTATAGATTTCAGAAAAGAGAAATAAGGCCCACATACTAAAATTACTTCTTTTGTAATACCTTCAAAAAGTCCGTTTCCATGTCCAATATACAGGTAGTTCTCAACTTATGGCAATTGAGCCCCAAATTTTTCTCAGTAGGTGAGACTCAAAAGGGGATGCACGAACCTGGCATAAGCACACGCCAGTAACCAAGCTTCCCAATTTTGATCACGGGAATGCCGTAAGTCTGTGAAAAAGTCACTTTCTTCAGTGCCATTGTAACTAAACATTCACCAAATGTACTGTAATATTGAACAACCTGTTAAAGGGTAGCAATTCAGTTTCCAAGGGAGGAACAATGTTTTATTGTTTAGGAAAAACCAAAACAGGGAGGACAACCCAGTGACAATAGCTCACTCCCCCTCCCACCCACCCGCATTTCACTCAGGATCATGGAGGCCGAAAAGCGAGGTCTGCAGTGCAGAGTGCCAGGAAAAAAGCCCTGCCACTCTATGCTGCTCTTAAGGAGACGATCCAGTGCCTTTGACAACGACCTTCCCAGTATGACCTCGACTATGTATCAGAATGGTCAAACAAATGGCAACTTCAAATCTCAACAAATAAATGCTCTGTCTTACATATTGGCAAAAAAAATCAGAAAATAAAATACAATCTGAATAGTCAAGACCTTGTTGATGATCCAAACTCTGTCAAGGACCTTGGAGTACTCATCTCTAATGATCTAAGTGCTAGAGCCCACTGTAACTACATAAACAAAAAGGCATTAAGAGTTGTTAACCTAATCTTATGCAGCTTTTTCTCTGGAAATATCACACTACTAACTAGAGCATACAAAACGTTTGCTAGACCAATACTTGCATACAGCTCATCAGTCTGGAACCCACATAACATATCAGATATTAACACAGTTGAGAAAGTCCAGAAATATTTCACAAGAAGAGTTCTCCACTCCTCTGCTCGTTGCAGAATACCTTATGCCAGGGGTCCCCAACCACCGGTCCACGGACCGGTACCGGTCCGCGGAACAACTCCTACCGGGCCGCTGGCTTGCTGGGCGCCGCCATCTTTTTTTGATGAAAAAGTGCTTCCGGTGAGCTTTTCCGGGTAGAAAGCTCACCGGAAGCACGTTTTCATCAAAAAAAGATGGCGGCGCCAGCGCTTCCGGTGAGCTTTTCCGGGTAGAAAGCTCACTGGAAGCACGTTTTCATCAAAAAAAGAC